AGGTTGCCGGGTTCTTTCTCTCTTGAATGTGCCTCTCGGTCAGCAATGACCTTATTGCCCAGTTTTCTGGGCTTTGCCTGCAGAGAGGACCCCAGCATTGCTGAGAACCTCAGGCACGTCTTTTGAACTAGGTACGTGGTCCATCCTGGTACGAGCGGTTGAGGGAGGTAATGAACTTCCAGGACCTCCAGCCCGTCCCTCCTCCTCCTGGATCTCCTTCCAGATGTTCAACAGTGGACTTGTATTTCCTGAAGCGCTCTGCTCGAGGCGATCATCTCTGGTTGGTTGTGCTGCTGTGGATCAGAGCTGCTTCTCCCTCCATCCCCATCTTTAATATAAGCAATATCCTCCCCAACCGAGGCTTCTAGGATAGCAGTTTGCTTCAAGAGCACAAATTAAAGGGAGGCCACCCAGGGCCTTAATGGTCTTAGCAGAGTCAACACAGAGAGCGTCGCGCACTCCCTGCTTAATATGAAGAGTGACGAAGTGGAGCCACTGCCCTTCCAGTCGGGCCTGGTCTGAATACCAAAGAGACATGGGGAGGAAGGAGTTAGGGAGGAGCTCCGAGCTGCCACTCAGCTGCTCCCGTCAGCTCCTCCGCCAGCCCTGTGGGGCTGTGGGAGAGAAGGTAAAGGTCAGGAACTCTCAGCAAATATTTAGAGGGCTGTTCCCAAGTCTGATGGGTTTGGACACAAGGTAATCCTCTCCTGGAAGGAGCCAGTAATCCCTGAGCAAATGCCCGGCCTAACTGGTAACTCTATGGCTGAGCCAGCCTGTCTCCCCTGGGAGAGTCAGGGAGGGAGAAGGTGAGCCCAGCACCCAGGTTGAGGTTCGGATGGGAGTGGAGGAGGCCTTGGCTCTGAGAAAGAGGGCGCCTGCTGGGGAATGCTTTCCAGCGCAACCTGTTGTGTTGGGTGTACAATATTTTGTTATCTATAAGAAACAGATATTGAGCAAAACCTGTAAACCCAGTTCTGAGTTAGGGATGAGGCTTTAGAGATGAAAAACACATTCCCTGTCAGGAATTCAGAGTCTGATGGGGAGCCAGTCTGCAAGCTCTCTGAGGACAGGTAGTATCTGTGAGTTTGCTCACTATTGGATCCCCAGCCATTAACACTATGAATGAATGAATGAATGAATGTCCTGTAGTTCAGTGGAACCCTCCCCATGGAACTCAAGGATGACTTCCTGGAGATGGGCTTACAATCAGAGAGCAGAGCAGAGAAGTAAAGGAAGGAAGACTCAGGCAGGAGGAATAGCATGTGCAAAACATGAAGGTAAAGGGAGTCATGGCTCAGCTGCTTCCAGAGGCCTGCTATGTAGAACACACTGGGTGACAGATCTGAGGCAGGATCCCAGTCTGAAAGAAACTAGCAGGCCATGGTGAGGAGCTTGAATTCCTCTTGCAAGTTCCTTATGGGTTTTTAAGAACGAAGCAATAAGGTCTGGTTTGCATTTTTGATCATCCTATGGAGGATGACTTTGCCCACTCTGTCTACTAATGCATGTTAAAACCAAGCCTCTGCTACCTACTAGTATTGTGATGGATCTAAACAGCCACTGTTCACTAGAAAACAATCTGAGCCACATATGTCATTTAAATTTTTCTCATAGCCACAGTAGGCAATATACTTAATCACATCCTTTATTTAACCTGAAATGACAAGATACATTTTACATTTCCCCATTTGGAGTCTTTGAAATCCAGTGCACATCTCAATCCACACTTGCCACATTTCAAGCTCAATAGCCACATGAGGCTAGTGGCCGCCATGTTGAACTAAATTATTTGCCTAAATGAACGTGGCTATCAAGTGTGGGGCCTATACTCTTCCAAGTCGTGCAATTCTGCATTCTGAGTGCTTGAAATTTAGGGTGCTTGTAGGTTCTTGGAAAACCATGAAAATGGAAAATATCTCAATTATAAAAAAAAAAATACATAGCCTGGCACACCCCTGTAATCCCAGTGGCTTGGGAGGCTGAGGCAGGAGGATCTGGAGTTCAAAGCCAGCTTCAGCAAAAATGAGGTGTAAGCAACTCAGTGAGACCCTGTCTCTAAATAAAATACAAAATAGGGCTGGGATGTGGCCTAGTGGTTGAGTGCCTCTGAGTTCAATCATGTTGAACAGTGTATGTGGAGCTACAGAGCATGCACCAGGCAATTAAAGCCTCTGTCCTTGCTGAGCCCTGCCTAGAAGACCTCAAATTAAGCAAGCAAACAAAATGATACAATGAAAGTTACAATGGTGGCAGAGTGAAAGCAATGATCCTGACCCCCCAAAGAGCCTTCAGGGACCTAAGTGTAAGTTGAATCCTTAGGGCTAATTGGGGGTCAGTGAGGACAAGGGTGACCTTGGCAGGCAGGGACATTTAACAATGTCTGAGACATTTCTGGCTGTCACAACTTGGGGGGACAGAGGTTACTACTGGCATCTAGTGGGTAGAGCCCAGAGATGGCTGCACATCCTGCCATGTACAGGACGGCACAACAACAAAGATTTATCCAGCCCAACTTCCCAGTAGTGCTGAGATTAAGAATTCCCGATTCAGAGAGATGCTGTAGACAGAAGGGTCTCAGAGGAAACCCTGAGATCCTCTGGCATTTAAAGTAGATTAAGTAGATATGAAAGGAAGGATCCATCAATGAAGTAGGAGGCAATGCAGAAGCGAAAGGGGGAAGATGAGACCAAGCAGGCGATAGTGACCCCAGTTTGGAGGCTGTATATAAGTTCAGTGATCAGTGAAAACATTACACTGTTTATTTTGCGGGTGGGTATTTGGGGGTGGGATTGAACTCAGGGGCACTCGACCACTAGGCCACAGCCCAGCCCTATTTTGTATTTTATTTAGAGACAGGGTCTCACTGAGTTGCTTAGCACCTCGCTTTTGCTGAAGCTGGCTTTGAACTCCAGATCCTCCTGCCTCAGCCTCCCAAGCCACTGGGATTACAGGTGTGCACCAGGCTATGTATTTTTTTTTAAATTGAGATATTTCCCATTTTCATGGTTTTCCAAGAACCTACAAGCACCCTAAATTTCAAGCACTGAGAATGCAGGAAGAGTACAGGCCCTACACTTGATAGCCACATTCATTTGGGCAAATGGTTTTGTTCCACTGAGCCCTGGATTCTTCATATGGAAAATAGGTTATGGCATGATCAAGTGAGAAGATAATAAATTTGGCACATAGTAAGTGCTCAATTAATGGAACTCACTTCTTTCTTTTTATCATATTCTAGCAATGCTTGCCTGTAGGTTACTCTTTGATTTTTTGATTCTGCCTTCTTTCGTCTGTGCCAAAATCCTGCTGAAAACAGGACTGGTTGTGGGATGGAATCTCTGCTCCTTTTCCTTACAGATAAAGTGTAGTTGGTGTTATAAAGGTTGCCAAGTGTCTTATCTGTGAAAACCACTCTCAACTTCCTTCCTTTCCCCTCCCTAATTTCCCTAAATTGGCTCCCCCTGCCCATTAATGTCCTTTGCATTAACAATTAACTGATTGGTAAGACAGGGGTCTCTGCAACATGGTTTAGCTCATTACTTATCAAACTAGGAAACAGGAAAAGAGGTAGATTGGAAACTCTTTGAGGGAAGCAGATCTTTTCAAACTTGCTCACCATTACCCAGAAAATCAGACACTTGAATCTGCTTCACTCCAGCTCCTAGAATTTAGAGTGTGATAGGGATTTGGCAATTCACCCCAAGGATCTATTTTCTTCCAAGTCTCTTGGTTCATCTTATACATTTAGTAAATTGACATTCTAGTCCATAACACAACATTTTCCCTTTTAATGCAATTATACAATTTTATATTCTCTTCTAGCTGAGTTCTATAACCCACCCCTCCCCCATCAGTTTCCCCAGAGTTTCTCATCTAATCCCCAGAGATGGGAGAATCTCGGCTTCAGATCAAATCCAACATCAAAATGCTCTTCTTGGGTATCAGACTAGGAGACTGGGGTACCCCTTTGACAGTGGACAAATTCCTCATGATGATCAGATGCGGGCAAACCACCACGGAGAACACTGTTCTAGAATAAAGAGTTCTCGTGGGAGATGGAAGTGATTCCTGAATCTTCCACAGCTTTGGAGAATATTTTGATTTTATTTTTGCAGTTTCTAGGATGTTTTGTAAACAGAGTTTTGATAACAGAAAATGCTTCCCACCTATTTTGGGGGATCTATGGGAGATGCTTGAGTTGATTATTTATGCTGGGTCGTGGTTTGGTCCTCTCTGGTATGGAGGTCCCAGGCATTTGTTGGCTTACAGCAAAGCCGTCCATCATAGACACGCTGGTGTGGCCAAGCAAACTGGCTGTCAGAGCCTCACGTGCACGATGCCACGAGAATGGGGACGTCAAAAACAATGTCCTCTTCTTTGTCTCTTGAGAAGGAAGTTATCCCAAGATGCTTGGGGATGGATGGAGTTGACTCTTTCCTGACGCACGGCACAGACTGCAGTCAACTTTGCAGAGATACCAAATGGGGATAAAATACCCTCTGAGAAACATGCTGTCTGCTTATTTTTTTTTTTTTGCTCATCTGAACAAAATGGCTCTGAATTTACATAATTAAAATGCTGGTGTCTTTTCAGATCCTAACAATGGGTAATTAACACTGTTGCTTGTCAGCTGGGGAAATACCTGGGGAGGAGGCGATCAGAGCCCAGCCGCTTTATTTTGGGCCACATCTTGTGGACCATCAGGGCTAATTGAATCACCCCCCATCTCATTGGAAATGAATGAGAGAACATTGAGCGTTACCAGCCCGGCTCACAATCAACCCAGAAAAGGCTGCAAGCCGGCTCGGGATCAGAACCTCAACCCTGCCTTGAGGACCGCCGTCTGACAGTCTAATTTAGAAGCGTTGCTTAAAATCTTAATCAGCCGCGTTGAAATGAGCAGAGGCGAGCTTTGACACCATGTTTGTGGTTTATGGTTATCATTTTTAATAAACGTTAAAATGTTTTTTACAGGTGTGGAAAAAGGCACCTCCCTGGGACCCGGCTCTCTTAGGTCTTGCAGATTCTATCAAGAAAAGAAAAATGTCATTGTCGAGAATGAAGACGTAACATATTCATCAGAGCTTGCCTGCCTTTTATTCTGTGGAACCTTGAAAGCTAGCCACACTCCTAAGCCCGAGTCCATCTTCCCTGCACAAGTGATATCTTGATTGACACGTCTCCAAATAAGCTTCTGAATAGCTTTCCGTATTAGCCTCGGAATAATTCAGATGTCAAATTACGGCTCACAGACTCCCTGACTCCTTACGAGCTCCAGAATGAATTTTTTAAATATTTGGCAGAAAAATATTAAATTTTGTTCAGGTTGGGTCAAAGTTCATATCATTTGGTAATAAAGAGCCACAGAGGGTGTTTGCCCAGGGTGAGCTGCGTTGATTTTATTTTGTGCAACAGCTGCAGGTCTGACTGACCCTTGGTGGGCAGTTTGGAGTTTGCATCGCCTGCAGCCTTCGGCATCTTTACGGTTTCTTTGGACAGAAAGAGGAAAGAGAAAGAGAAAGAAGAAGGGCCGGGGAAATGCAATGAATTTTTCTCTCTGTGCAGGACTCCTGGCTGATGTCATCTCTAAATATGCAGCTTTAATTGCTCATCTCTGCCGCAACAAGGGGAAAAGGCATCTTTGTTACTTGTTTTCATCACTGTTGAAACCGCACTGCCGACTCAGCCTGGATTCTTGTCTTGCAAACTCTGCAGAAGCGTTCCTTACAAGCTAGAAGGCAAAGCGGTGCTTGCTGGGTTGATAATGACCACTTTTCATAATATTTGTTGGATGCTCTGAAATGTGTGGCTGAGAAAACTCTCATTATTACCGTCTGTTTGCACGGCTGTAAATATTTAACCAAGAATGCTACCTGCTTCGTGGAAAGACTTGCTAATTACACCTGCTTCTCTCTATAATTACATATTGTTGTAAAATTCTACGATAATGACACAACTGTGTTTTTCTCTTGCAAGGGGTAAATTTATACCAAGTGTGGCACCTGAATTTCCATAAGCAATTAGCCTACACATTTACATCCCTGTGTTTTCCTGTGATTTTATTGAAACGAAAGATAATGAATTAAATCTAATTATAGCAGGAAGACATCTAGTAACTTGATGTTTATTTTTGAGCCACAGCTCTACTTTGTAAGGAAAGCGAGGAGGGGAACTATATTATTGCTTAACGCAGTGGAAGCATTCTGATAAATCAGAAATTTCATTCTGATAGCAGGGACCCAGACAGGCAGCCCTTATTGGATACTGGGGCTCTCTTGACAAGATGCTTTTCTACAAGATGCATATTTCTAGTCTGATGAATGTGAAGTACTGCTCTTGGCTTGTAGCCTGATTCTTGGTGGAGCATCTCTATAGACAAATGTTTCCCTAGATACTCTAATAAAACCCAGGATAATCATCCACAGTTCACGGGGTCCTTCGAAGAGGGTGGGAGGTAGAGCCCTGGAATTCAGGAAATAGGAGACAAATAAGAGCCTTCTTTTATTATGATAAAACATGAGCATCTCTATTCTTTTGGAAATCTTCACTCTTTAGGTGACAGAGTGCCTATCTAGGCTACCCCCAGGTTCATCTGCTTTAATCAGGAGACGGCTTTATTCAAAAGACACACAGCCAAAAGGCTGAAAACAGAAACAAAAGCCAAACAAAATAAGTGGCGTGACAGTACAGACGGAAAAAATGAATACATCTCGACATCTTTATTGTTTTCTTTTTCGTTTTGCTCCCTTAAAATCCTCCCTCTCCGGTCCCCTTCTCCTTCTGTATAAATGCAAACATCTCCAAATGTCAAGTGCAGGGAAGTGACCCATCCTTTAATGGCACAGAGGATGATTAGAGACCGATTTCCATGTCATTTCCGACACAAACACAATCCCTAGGTTACAGGCTTCCCAGAACAGTTTTCAACCTGATAATGAGTTGGCTTGTTTGTTCAGTGGTCACGACTGCTCCTACTTCAAAACATTTTAGCAAATATGAGGATGGTGAGACTGTGTCATTATGACAAGTGGGAACAGGAGCAGGGCCTGGATTGGGCTGATCGGTGACAGCCGGGCTGGCTGAGGACCTGGACTGATAGGTTGTCTTGCCTGGCCCTGCCGGGGAACTATTCTCTTCGATTTCCTCTCAGTGACCGGGCTGGAGTGTGGCTACCTAATGGTTTGCTGTCGATACAGTAAAAATGCTCACCCGTCTTTAATCCATTCCGAGAGGGCTCTTTACATAAGTGGCCTATTCCATTTCTTCATTTTCAGAAAAGGCAATCAAATAAGATTGAACTACACAGGCTGCTGTACAGTGACTTATGTGTGTGTGTGTGTGTGTGTGTGTGTGTGTGTGTGTGTTTGAAAAAAGCACAATGATTAATTTTGAGACACAGCATTTTGTGTTGTCTTTGACAATTTTCTTCCTCACCCTTTTTTTTTTAAGGACTCTGAAAATCAATGTCGTGCTTCACTACCATCCATCTTTATATAGTAATAAATTAAGTGGGAGGTATTGATATTTTTGACTGAGCTTTTAAAATTTACATACTAATGACAATTATACCCTGGTGACTGTTGATTCCTGCTGCTGTTTACTCTTCCCGGCTTGGGAAAGAGTGTCGCCTGTTTGCTTCGAGGTTCCTGAATGTCTTGGGTCCTAGGTCAGTCGAATGGAACCCCCCATCCCAGGCAGGTGTCTCAGAGGTCCCTGTGCTGCGTCACATATTAACCCTTTTGGTGCTAAATTAAGAGAAGAGGAGAAAGTTCTGGGAAAGAGCCGGAGCAGTGGGCAGCCGAGGGCTCACGGCGGATGGTGGACTGGTTATTTGTCCCTGGCCTAGAACAGTCTAATATCTTTTGCTGGTGAAGACTGGGTGAATTTTGACTCTGGACGGAAGCCCGCTTTCCTCATTCCCTTTCATACAATTTAGGTTATCTTGGGGAAGTCACAGAAGTATCATGTGCCCTTCTTGTTCCTGAAGAAAAAAGAAATAAACCAGAAATCTGAAACCTTGACCTTGAGTGTCTTGCTTCACTTGGGCTTCCAGACTGTTTCTGATGAACTCCGGGGGCAGAAGGACGGACAGTCACCAGCTGGGTCCCCTCTTGCCTTGCACCTCCCTCGAGATGGGCTCAGGGCCTCTTCTCAGGATTTGCCATGTGTTCGTTTGGAAGCACGGATGAAGCCCTAGCACGGAGGAAATGAACAGAGCAAGGTCAGGGCCACGATATGATTTGATTTTCTGAAACCGAATCCCTCCAGGCCGCCTGAGTGCGGCCCACAGGTAGATGACCAGGAAAAATACCAACCCATCGGTGGGAAGGCTTCAACTTCATTTACACAATTATTCTGGGGACTGGGACAGCCTTGAAGCGAACAACAGTTTATTCGCCAAGATTAATTTGTCAGTAATATTGATTGTCGGGGGCCTGCTTCATGCTATTTAAGATTCCACAAGGCATAGACAGCAGCAACTCGAGCGTGATTTGTCCCTCTAGAATCTCCAGGATGTCGGGAGGCAGGCGGAGGAGACGTGGAGCAGCAAGTTCTGTCAAACTAGATATTGCCAGGCCGATCCCCGGGGCAAGGTGCGTGCCTGGGTTTTGTTTACATTTTGCCAACGCAGCAATAAATTGTTTACATAGGCCAGTCTCTCTCTCTCCTCTCTCTCTCTCTCTCTCTCTCTCTCTCTCTCTCTCTCTCTTTTCTCCCCCAAAGCAGGTTACCCAGATATTCAGGCAACTATCATATAAAGAAACCAGTGGAATTTCCCCTGATTCAACCCTGAAATCAGTACACAGGATCATCCAAATATGAAGGCTGTTGAAAGTTGGGTTTCTTGCTGAGCAAAGCTGGCCCAGCAACTTCCCACTGTCCAGAAAGCACCTTAGCGAGAGCGTCTGCAAAGAAAGCCCTGAACATGGGAGAGGTGTGCAGGAGAACACCCTTTCATCAGAGGATCAGGTTTCAGGACGGGGTGGGAGCCCAGAGAATTATTGTATTACACACTGTCCTGAAATGGGCCTTGTTCCTCGGGCCCCACCTCCCTCTTGTCCTTTCTTTTCTTTGAGTGTTTTTTTGGAATGAAAGAGTTTTTCTTTTTCTTTTTCTTTTTTTTTTTTCCTTCCAAATTGCGCTGGGAGGCAAATTCTTGAACGGTGTAATAGAAAATGTTAGACAATATTCCTTACCGGAGCTATTGACATTTTGGATAGTTGTGACACTTTGATTTTTCTCAAAACATATGGATCAAGCCTGGCTGCGTTATTGGACAGGAAGCCCTGATGAAAGGCCTTCCTTGATCTTTCTTTGTATTTTCCCCCCTCTGTTTGCTCATGGCTTTCTCTCTGAATATAATCGTGGTTTTCTTAAGCTGTCCGGGGAGTCGTTATTGCCTTACTAAATATTTCATGGTGCACAGCACACCGTACCTGCCAACCGCCTCTTATTTGTTGTCAAAAATAAAGGGTTCATCCTATGGAGGGGGAAAAAAGAGGGAGCGGGTCTATTCCATTGTTTTTATTTTAAAGTTTCTCATCGGCACCAAATGCATCGACACCCTGGCAGCCTAGGAGGGGTGTCTTTCATTTGCCGGGGACCAGGCCGGCCACTTATTTATTTATTTGCGGCTTATTTATTTGCTGCTGCGCTCTGCTCTCTGATTCCCGGCGCTTGTCTCCTTGCAGTTTCCCTTCCTATTTGTTCAGAAGGGAAAAGTTCAAAGCGGCTCTGTCAGCCGAGGGAGAAGCAGGCAGAATACTAACCCTCCAGCGCCCGCCTGCGCTGACCTTGAGAGAGGAGCACTAAACGGTCCCACCGCAGACCCGCATGTGTGTTTTGTTAGACCAGGTCGGCAGGGGTCAGGGCTCACCTGAGGCCAGCGGCAGGCCGACCTGCCTGAGCAGCAGGGTAATGCATTTTTAAAAGGGACATTCTCGCCTTTGAATGGGCCTAATATGGTCTCTGTTTAAAAACCTGTCAGAATCCCAAGCACACACTCCATAAAATATAAATAAGTACTTACTGTTTGCAGATGTTGCTTGTTTTTCATAATGTTTGCATTTGAAGTCTCGAATCCTCACTTCCTGTCAGGCTCCCCCATGCCTCTCTCTCTCTCCTGATTCTGAAGGAACAAGGGGGACTTCAGATGGCAATTTCTCAATGAAGACACTTTCTGTCGCATCTGTCAGCGTCCCTGGCACAATTAGCATTCCCTTTTTCTTTTTTCATTCTCTCTCTCCCACACACTCACACTCACTCACACTCACACACGCTCACACACACTCACACACACACACACGCAGGTTCATTTCTCACCACCTCTTTCCCGGTGGGTGGTGGAGGAGCCTCCTCTCTTGTTAGCAGCACTTGAAGGAGTCTGAAGTCTCAGGAAAGGGCGACTTTCAGGGCCCTGAGATGTGACGCTGTGACTCATCAGGCCTTGGCCTCCACACTTAGATAAACTGGTAGGAATTAGGAAAGGAACCTTGGGGAGCCTCTGCCGTCTTCCTGGGATAACTTGGAGACGGGGCTTCATGCATCTTTGGAGAGCCCTCCACCCGCAGTCCCATTGATAAGGTCATGTGTGTCTTTGGCTGCACCCACTGGGCCCGTCTCTGACCCATGATTCCCAGAATCAATCGGTCTTCCCCCCACAGCTCAGCCCCTCCAACGACAGCCTGGTGGGGGACGATCTCTCCCGTGATCTGGTTGAACCCCTTCTGTCACTCCTCCTGTCCCTTCCTGGTGGCTGCCCGTGGCCCAGGTGGCATGACGGGAGGCATTGGAATGGGGGCACATCCCTGTGATCGGATGGACGACGCGTGAAGGGGACTGTGGAAGTGTGTGTTTGTCCCGCAGTCCTCCCGCGACTCGCCTGAGCATTTGAACAACACCCTCCCCGAGCACCTGCCACGTGTGCCCGGAAAGCTGGGTGCCAGCTCCCTCTGCAAGCCCGCGTGCTTGCTGAAACCAGCCGGGTACCTTGCTGTTTATGCAGCCCGCCAGTTAAGAAGGCCAGCTCAGCCCTGTGCCCAGCCCTTCCCATTCCTCCCCTAGAAAGCAGCGGTTTAGATGGGCCCCACGTGAGGTGTCTGCACATCTCCCTTCTTAGTTCCTTCCTCTTGAAGCCAACAGCCATGGCTACCTTCAAGTACTTAAAGCCTGCCCCTCATCCCTAATGCCTGCTGAGAATCAGAGACTCCCTTTGCCCACTTGAGCAGGGCAGGCCCAGCAAGCACGGCTCACTTGCACCATGCTTTAATATCCATTATTTTAAAAAAAATAAAGGTGTGGGGAGGAGGAGGAGGAGGAAGAGGAGGGGACAGGAGCCTTGGCTACCTTCTGGGCAGTTCTGGGAGGATCTGATTATAAACACATGCCCAGGACTCAGCATTCCTCCATGCTCGAAGAGGGTCAGTGGAGCCGGCTTCATCTTTAAAGCCCAGAAACCATAAATCAAGATGAAAATCCTGCAGCCCCAAAGCCTTACCAATTGATACAATTTGAAAATGGGCAGCCGGAGAGGCTGGGGAGAAAGCTGACATGATGACTTTTATAATAGCAGAACGTTTAAGGCTATAGAAATAAAAGGAAGAGGATGAAATCAGGCCGGTTGATCTCTGCCTGCAGGCTCTCCGCGCTCACTGGAAGCTCCAGCAATTATTTCTGCCCTGACTTTCTCCTCCTTTTTTTCCCCCCCTCCCTCCCCCAGCAGTCTGTTTGAAATGAAGCAGAACCGGGCATGGCAGGCTTATCAGTGTCGTTAGCTGACAGGACGCCCGGCACACCTGCTTTCCCTTGCCGATGTTTCAGGCACTAATGCCACAGAGAATGTGGCTTGGGTCCTTATAATGTGTAAAGATTCATTTATTTCAACTTTTGAACCTGCCTGACCCCCTGGGCTTGTGCTGGGGAGGGGGTGAGGGCTGGAGAAGGCTTTTTTCCTGCACTTAGAAGAAACTGGCAATTAGGGGTCTGGCCCTGGGGCTGTTGCTATGATAGAGGCTTAAAAAGAGAGGTGGGGGCTCAGCCAGGCAGGCGCTGGGAGCCGGGACGAGGGGGGTGGTGCAGATGGCTGCAGCCGCCCTGGCTCCGTGGTGTCCCATGGGCAGGGCTGTTCAGATACCCAGGTACCCTGACTTTTAGAAACACACACACACACACATATCAAATCATCACATGTATTAAGCCCTGGGATGGTTGAAAAGGTTTTTAAGAATTGTTTTGCCTTTGAAGTGAAATGAGCACCTCATTACACGCACGTACAGTGGCTGAGATTTCTTGGCAACCATTGTGTGAACTTCGGAATTCCTGCAAAGTGAGCAGGAGCTACCTTTCAAGTTGTTTTCCAAGGTGATGGGATTTTGTGAATATTAAACGTAGCTATTAATGAAGTTCATGGAGTATTCAGATTTGCAGACATTTTGACATTTAATTAAACATCTATTAGATTCAGTTTTAGGGTTTTCTTCTCATGGTTTGGAGCCAATAAATACGTGTTTGGGGGTTTCAGATATTTTTAGTAGGCCTGTAAATAGGGGGAGCCTGGAGCCGAATACCCAAAGCCCTTCACCCCCGGCACCTTTTATTTTCTCGCTTTATTTTGGGGTGGGTTTGACTCATACGTTTTTCCTTCTAGAAGGCTTAGTGTAAGGTCTTAGCTTCTTAGGAATAAAAAAAAAAATAGTTCCACTATAGTGGACATTAATTCTTTGGAGACTTTGATTATGGCCCCTTCTATTTCGTGTCTCGTCACTGGGATTAATGGGAATCGGGCATATATTCCAACCTCTCCCTGGAAATCTTTGTTTCCTGATTTTCCTTCTTTTAAAGAGGTGGCATTTGTGGGGCTTCTGCTGTTCATGCCTAATAACCATTTCCCCTCCTTTGGAGGATGGATTCTGATTTCCCTTGGGGAGTGAACCCTCCCCACAGATTCAGCCCATTCACCTCTGGAATGGGCACAGGACTCAGGCTTGACCAAGGAGAGCATCCTAACACCCTGCCCGTGGTTATCGATTCTGGGACTTCTGTAACTATCTGGGGAAAGGAAACTTCTTTTTATGCAGAGATGACTAGCTGAAAGGGCTTCCAGGAGAACCATTATGTAGAAAGACCGTACCTAAAAATAAAGTCAAGGAGGACATAAAACAAGAGTTAAGACATTGAGTGAGAAAGTGAGAGACGCTAAGTCTTACTATCATAAGAGCCCCTGGATCCAACTATGCCTGAAGCTATAAAGCCATATCACCTTTAAAATATTCAGTTATACAAACTGGTAAATTTCTATTTTGCTTAAGTCATTTTGACTTGGGTGGCTATCACTCGCAGCCAAAAGAACTTGACAAATATATACTCTGATATTCCCAAGGGACAAGTCCTACCAGAGCGTTTTCATTTGATCTACTCTGTTGGAGGATAATTAAAATTAGAAAGTGGAGCTGGCAAGTGCAGGGTGATGGAACAATGTGAATAATGAAAATGATGTTCTGGAGAGCTTCCCATGCATATCTCCACTCTCTCAGAGACTCATCATTTCCATTTTTTAGATAGGAAAATGTGGCTTGAAACTACCTCATAATGACATAACTTCGCATACCTATCCTTAGGGCTCAAGGATCTGGGATCTCATTGTCTAGTGTGGGTTCCTGTGGTCTTGCCTTAGATATTCTGTAACATTTTAGGGGGCATGCTAGGGATTAAACTCAGAGGCACTCAACCACGGAGCCCCATCCCCAGCCTTATTTTGCATTTTATTTAGAGACAGGGTCTCACTGAGTGACTTAGCACCTCACTTTTGCTGAGGCTGGCTTTGAACTTGCAATTCTCCTGCCTCAGCCTCCCAAGCCACTGGGATTACAGGCGTGAGCCACCAAGCCTGGCCCATAACATCTTTATATCCACTCTCCACTTTGTTCTCTCTGCAACCTGTATGGAGTTCCAACCATTAGAAATTCCATTCTTTTGAGTTCTGAAAAACCTAACACTAGTTAGAATCCCTTACTAACATGCAAACCCCAGTTAACGTTTAGGTAATCAGACCCCTTGGAATGTGGATTTGAGTAGGTATCAGAGAAAGGAAAACTTGTTTGTGTCATAGTTATTTCAAGGCTTGGGCCTATCAAATGGAAAGCGGTCTATGTGTGATAAAGAAGAGGTGAGAAGTGGAATGAGGTGTCTTATGTCTCCACGTGACTCAGTTCTCTTTCCTGTGAAGCTCTTCCTTTCCTCCCCCTGGCCTCCCATCCACACATCATCAAAAAATCGCCAAGCCTGTCTCAGGAGCTACTTGATTTCAACAAACCCACTTGGTTTCTGGGTTCCTCTAAACAAATTCCCAACAGAGGCCCATACAAGTTGCAGTTTTGCAGTGAGGGCAGAGGGTGGTGTGTGTGTGTGTGTGTGTGTGTGTGTGTGTGTGTGTGTGAGCATGCACACACATGTGCACAACCCACTTGCCTGTTTCCCAGGCCACCTGAGTGGGGCAGGTACTGAAAAGAAGGTCACAATAAGAGGAACCAGCCCTTTGCTCTAAATCTGCTTCAACCGGTTCTGTGGAATCTACAGCTCCTTTGACTCATTTCAGCTCATTCTGGGAGCACTCAAAAGATGTCCTTTCTGGATTTCCATGCCAATCTTCTGGGCTCCCATCAGGGGTCCGCCATTCTTTCTGTTTCCTATTCTCAGTTATTTTTGCTGTTGCTGAAGTCATCACAGGAAGTCCTCCCATCTCTCCACCACAGGAAGTCCTCCAAATCTCCACCATAGGAAGTCCTCCCATCTCTCCACCACAGGAAGTCCTCCAAATCTCCACCACAGGAAATCCTCCCATCTCTCTACCACAGGAAGTCCTCCAAATCTCCACCACAGGAAGTCCTCCAAATCTCCACCACAGGAAGTCCTCCCATCTCTCCACCACAGGAAGTCCTCCCATCTCTCCACCACAGGAAGTCCTCCCATCCCTCCACCACAGGAAGTCCTCCCATCCCTCCACCACAGGAAGTCCTCCCATCTCTTCACCACAGGAAGTCCTCCCATCTCTCCACTACAGGAAGTCCTCCCATCTCTCCACCACAGGAAGTCCTCCCCTCTCTTTACCACAGGAAATCCTTCCTTCTCTCCACTTCCTTTTACACAGGCTGTTTGGTCTTTGGAGTCTGTTCACAACTCCATTATCACCTCCTTCCCTCACCCCACACTCTGCATCAGTTACAGAGCAGGTCTGCCATGTGCTCTCAATAGGACATAGGGATCCCAGTGAGCCAGCTCTTCTCCTTTGAGTCATTCAGCAATATGGATGATCATCCTCACCTGCCCTGACCCACTGTCATAGCACTGCAGATCTGAAGCTTAGCTTTCACTTCCTATAGGATGAACACCTTCTCAGGAAGTGCTAGGATCCAGGGGTCTGCTGGACTCATGTTGGGTTTTCTTTTTCCTTTTTTTTGGGGGGGGGCAGGGGATACTGGGGCTTGAACTCAGGGGC